GCGCATGCACGATGCATTCTGGGAGCCTTCCCTGGTGGTGCGGCCAGCAGGGGCTGCTTTCCCCACTGCTGCCTCCCTTGGGTATTCTGTCTCAAGCTCTTCCATGCCTCTTCTAGTCCAGTCCCTTATATTGAAGCTGTCGCATATTTGAAGTCTGTGTTCTTTCTGATTCGGTTCCCTTTATCTTTTTTTTTTTTTTTTTTTTTTTTTTTGAGACGGAGTCTCGCTCTTGTTACCCAGGCTGGAGTGCAATGGCGCGATCTTGGCTCACCACAACCTCCGCCTCCTGGGTTCAGGCAATTCTCCTGCCTCAGCCTCCCGAGTGGCTGAGACTACAGGCGTGCGCCACCATGCCCAGCTAATTTTTGTATTTTTAATAGAGACGGGGTTTCACCATGTTGACCAGGATGGTCTCGATCTCTTGACCTCGTGATCCACCCGCCTCGGCCTCCCAAAGTGCTGGGATTACAGGCGTGAGCCACCGCGCCCAGCCTCGGTTCCCTTTATCTTAACCTTGTCATATGGGTGCAATGTTTTACTGTTCTCTGAGGACATGAGTTACATTTCTCTTGAAAGACTCACTTTCTTAGCTGGGTGTGGTGGCCAACGCCTGTAATCTGAACACTTGGGGAGGCTGAGGCAGGAGGATTGTGTGAGGATGAGTTCGAGACCAGCCTGGGCAACATAGTAAGACCATCATCTTAACAAAAAAATAAAAAATTAGCCAGGCATGGTGGTGCACACCTGTAGTCCCAGCTACTCAGGAAGTTGAGGTGGGAGGATCACCTGAGCCTGAGAGGTCGACACTGCAGTGAGCCATGATCACGCCACTGGCATTCCAGCCTGGGCAACAGTGTGAGACCCTGGCTCAAATAAAAGAAAAACTCCTTTTCCTGTGCTGTTTCCTCAGGACTCTTGTGTTTGTTTGGGGTTCTGTCTTTTACGTGACGGGCTTTCCTTACCTGTCCCTTCGCATTAATAGTGCCATACTGAAAGGGTGCCTGGCCGCTGAATGTGGGGACAGGCCTTTTGGCCTGGAGAGGCTCAGGAGCTGTGGGAAGGTAGCTTGCCCTCAGAGGACTCCTCAGCCTCATGCATAGCTGCAGGCAGGACAATGGGAAGAGCCAGTTGATAAGTAGAGTGTCCTTTGACCCCTGTGGCTTCACTTTGGTGTCACACCCCCAGTCTCAACTGTGCCACCTGTCCCTGAGTATAGAGCAGCTTGGCTGCTCTATACAAAGAAAGGAAGAAGAAAGAGAGAAAGAGGGAGGAAGGGAGGGAAGGAAGGAAGGAGGGAAGGAAGGAAAAAGAAAGAAAGATGCTCATTGAAGTATTTACAATTAAAAGAATATGATTTTGACCAGCGCAATGGCTCACGCCTAGAATCCCAGCACTTTAGGAGGCCGAGGCAGGCGGATCACGGTCAGGAGATCGAGACCATCCTGGCTAACGTGGTGAAACCCCGTCTCTACTAAAAATACAAAAAATTAGCCAGGCGTGGTGGCCCACACATGTAGTCACAGCTAATTGGGAGGCTGAGCCAGAAGAATCGCTTGAACCCAGAAAATGGAGGTTGCAGTGAGCCGAGATTGCGCCACTGCACTCCAGCCTGGGCAACAGAGCGAGACTCCATCTCAAAAAAAAAAAAAAAAAAAAAAAAAAATGTGATTTCTTGCATTTGCCTTAAAATATTCCAGCCCATTCCCAAAGAAAAGCGTGTGTGCAGGGAAAGGGAGGATAGACAGAACGCAGCTGACGAAATACTGATACTCATGGTAGGTAGGTCATGGGTACATGGGGTTCATTGTTCTAGTCGTTCCACTTCTGTTTTGTTGAAAATTTCCATAATAAAACAAAAACAAGCTGTCACACATAAATATATGGCTTCCGGACTTTTCCTCCCTGACACACAGAAGCACAACTCAGCTCCTTTGAGACATTTGTTTCTGAACAGAAGCCATCATTAACTAGGAACACTTCAAAAAACAAAACTCTTGCTCTGGATTTCAAACTGCATATTAGTAGCTTTGTCCTTCCCTGTGGCAGTCTGACGCTGTTACCGAGATGGGGTCCTGCTGGTACATCACAAGCACCTTCTGAGGCCCTCATTCTGATGAGAGTAGGGAAATCACAAATCCTTTCCTGCCTTGGCCTTGGCCTGTGACATTTGCCCGGTGTTTCCCAGAGAGTTTTCACAGGATACGATACCTTAAAATAGTCCAGGAAAACAAATAGATAAATGTTTGAGAGTTATTATGCTCAATGAATTGTTTTCGTTTTAAGACAGGGTCTCTCTCTGTTGCCCAAGCTGGAATACAGTGGCGTGATCATGGCTCACTGCAGCCTCAACCTCCCAGGCTCAAGCAATTCTCCCACCTCAGCCTCCTTATGCATAGCTGGGATTACAGGCACACACCACCAGGCCCAGCTAATTTTTTATTTCTTATAGAATCAGGGTCTCACTCTGTTGCCCAAGCTGGTCTCAAAGTCCCAAGCTCAAGTGATCCTTCTGCCTCAGCCCCCCAAAGTGCTAGGATTACAGGTGTGAGCCACTACAGTGCCCGGCCTGGATTTCTTTACCAGAGGACTTTTTAGAACCTTTAGTAGTCCTCTGTATTGTGACTCTTCCCCAGATGGTGACGTAGACTATTTCTGCAATGTGCCTCTATCACCACACCTCTCATATCGAGAAGGAGAGACTCTGGAAAACAAAGTAGTCCGCGGATTTGTTTTTATTACTTAAGACAGCAGGCCAGGCGCAGGGGCTCACGCCTGTAATCCCAGCACTTTGGGAGGCTGAGGTGGGTGTATCGCCTGAAGTCAGGAGTTCAAGACCAGCCTGGCCAACATAGTGAAACCCCATCTCTACTAAAAATACAAAAAATTAGCTGGGCTTGGTGACGGGCATGTGTAATCCCAGCTATTCCGGAAGCTGAGGCAGGAGAATTGCTTGAACCTGGGAGGTGGAAGTTGCAGTGAGCCAAAATCACGCCACCGCACTCCACCGCACTCCAGCCTGGGCAACAAGAGCAAAACTCCATCTCAAAAAAAAAAAAAGGCGGTCGGGTGCGGTGGCTCAAGCCTGTAATCCCAGCACTTTGGGAGGCCGAGGCGGGTGGATCACGAGGTCAAGAGATCGAGACCATCCTGGTCAATATGGTGAAACCCCGTCTCTACTAAAACTACAAAAAATTAGCTGGGCATGGTGGCGCGTGCCTGTAATCCCAGCTACTCAGGAGGTTGAGGCAGGAGAATTGCCTGAACCCAGGAGGCGGAGGTTGCGGTGAGCCGAGATCGCGCCATTGCACTCCAGCCTGGGTAACAAGAGCGAAACAACTCCGTCTCAAAAAAAAAAAAAAAAAAAAAG